AAATGGATCCGTACGAAAGAACTGACTCCTTTGGTGCTCTTGCAAAAGCTGCTATTATAATATATGTCTACATCCTTCAGTATGATTAATGGATGCTGACATACTCAGACCCTGTAGTTATGTCATGGTGTGACACATCAGTAGCATACATTGCAGGAAGGCTGAGAGGCTGTCCGATTCCAAGAGACTGAGGAAAGGAACAGTCAAGCAGCCCAATTTGCCAGGCTTATTCAGACACATTCTTTATTCCGTGACCCATTTTCTTACATAACCAGGACTTATACCCCACCCCAATGGCCATATAGAAGAAATGCATGCCTGTAGAATTCTCTTATCTCAAACCCAAATGTCTTGGGGCTGCTTCACATCCTAAACCTAATGTGTGATTTTTTCCTCTCCCTTCCATAATGTGGAACTATTGCTTTCAGCTCTGGATAAAGTTAAGTACTTTGTTCTCTGGTTCTTTTTCACCTGCTCCTCATGGCTCTCTTATGTCTTCAGTGAATGTGATATTTGGGCATAACTTGAATGCCTGATTGAAAGGTATTAAGTTGCTAGCTCTCTTGATTATGAAAATATATGTGGGCAGTGTCTCAGGTGTCACAGGGTAGAATACTGACTACCAAGCTCAGGGATTATTCAATATGCAGTTGCTTTTCCTTTTCAAAAACAGGGTCTTTATTATTATTATTACTACTACTATCATCATCATCATCATTAAAACATTAATGTGCATGTTAAGCATTATGCCTTAACAAAGTTCACCACACTAATATTATTGTTTAATATTTCAGAATAATTTTAAAAATATCCTAACAGCCCAATCCTAGTAATATTTACTCAAGCTTACTTATTCATTGGATTTCAGTAGGGATTACTTCCATGTGGCCTTAATTCTTAGTTGGGACATGTCTAATTTCTTAACAGCTAATGAGTTGGCAGCTTCTCCTGCTGACTCAACTGCCCCAGGTTATTGAGCATTCATCCTGATCTGTTCGCACAAAGTTTGTGGGGATGTCAGCTGTTTATCAAGCATTCATTCTGATTTGTTTGCAGAGAGGCTACCTTATGAAATTTCAAGCAATTGTTATGCTAGACTTTCCAGCAATATCTCTTCCCACCCGAGGACTCTCCACTCTCCCCACTTCCCACCTGGTTTTGGTTTTTTGTCTTAACTGCCCCTTCTAAGACTGGGTGTGCAATATGTTTGGGGTTTGTGGAGTGTTAGGGGAGGGATTGTATCTCTGGTCCGTGGCACTGCGTGCTCTTTTGGGGGTAGCTGAGCAGCAGTAGTATAAACACCGACAACTGGGAAATGCTGGCCTCCAAGTGCTCCAGCTGGAGAACAGCCTTTACCAAAGGTGTCATGGGTTTTGAAGACACTCGTACTCAGGACAAAAGGGAGAAACACGCTAAGAGGAAGGCACACTTGGCAAACCCTCACCATGATCAACTCCCACCCAGAATCCCATGTCCCCACTGTGGAAGGATGTGTGGATCCAGAATTGGCCTCCACAGTCACTTACGGACTCACTTTTAAAACTGTGTTTATGGAAGACAATCTTACTCGGTTATGAGTGATCGCCAAAGAAGAAGAAAACCAACATAGCCCATTGCTATGGTTGAACACATGGCTAAGTGATATGATGCATGCATAAGCTCTGCATACTATATTATAGGACGCAATTCTCCAAGCGCTCCTTTTCTGGAACTGCCATTGAAGCAAACAAGGACAATAGCAGTATTATTCTTTTATTGTCTACTGGTACCTTGAAGGCGCATCGCTTGACATAGAAAACCTGCCCAGGCTTTCGAAATACAAACATAAACATATCCCTCCACAGCAAGAGAGAGAGAGAGATAGAGACCCAAGCAAAAGTGGGAACATCTCCCCATAACTCACATCCCTGTATCTTCTGAAGACCTGAAGTATTCAAGATCTCTGCCAGCTCTATTTCTCTTCTTCATTCCCCAGAGATAACTGTTTGCACTTAATTCTGCCTGTCTCACAATTAATAACAGTAAGACAGGTGGTATATAGTGCAAACAGTTATCTCTGGGAAGTGAAGACGAGAAATACAGCTGGAACAGAGTGAACATTGCAGGACTTCAGATTTAGAAGATACAGGGGGTGATTTACTGAGAGATGTACTCAGTTCACATTCTTCTGGGCCACTCCATTTTTATTGCCGTGATGAGATGGTAATGGGAAATGCCTGTGCCATTATACTAAATTATGATACTTGACACTTCATACTCATAAGAGCTTGGGGCTGTCTGATCAATTTATTACTTATTTTTCCAAGGTAATCCCATTAGCGACTCCCTTTTCTGTAATAGGCAGGGAGAGAAGGACTAAGAAGGTCAAGATCTTATCTGGCCAAGATCACATCACTTCCTCGCAATTTACAGCCATGAGTTCTAATCCTACTGCCTGGAGCAACAGTAAACACTCCTGCTTGCTCCAGCATTCACAGCAGAACTGGGGGTGATGGCTATGGACTTCCAGAGAAAGTTATAATAATTATAATATTTTTGTTATAGATTTTATTTGTACCCCGCCCATCTGACTGGGCTCCAACTCCCATTATCCCAAACCAAGATGGAGGGGGTTGATGGGAGTTGTGGCTACACATGTACAACGGTTTGCGTGAAAGAGTGTAACTTGTTGATTTGTGTAGCTCAGCTATTGTATATAAACTAAGAAGAGCATGCAATGGCCCATTTGCTCCAGCATCCTGTTCTCACAGTGGCAACTCGCAAGCACTCTGCCCTCCACAGCTTCCAGCAACCAATATCTGCATATCTGCACCAATATCTGCATCTGGAGCACAGTGCCTCCATCCATGAAGGCAGAACGTAACCATCATGACTAGCAGTCATTGAGAGCCTTGATGTCTATGAATTTGTCTACTCCTCTTTCAAAGCCATCCTAGGACCCACGTACCTACGGGACCGCCTCTTCTGGTATGCCCCGCAGAGAACCTTAAGGTCCACAAATGACAACATTTTGGAGGTCCCAAGTCGCAAGGTGGTTAGATTGGTCTCAACTAGGGCCAGGGCCGTTTCAGTACTGGCCCCGACTTGGTGGAACTCTCTGTCAGAAGAGACTAGGGCCCTGCGGGACTTGACATCTTTCTGTAGGGCCTGCAAGACAGAGCTGTTCTGCCTGGCCTTTGGTTTGGACTCAGTCTGACCCTTATGTTTCCCTCCCCTTATGGTTTTGATCTATGGCCTACTTTTAAAATGAGGCTTCATTTTAAATTACATTTTAACCTGTATTTTAAATTGGGTTTTTGTCCCTATTATGTTTTTACTGTAATTTTATTGGTGTTAGCCACCCTGAGCCTGGCCCCGGCTGGGGAGGGCGGGTATAAATTATTATTATTATTATTATTATTATTATTATTATCCAAGCGAGTGGCCATCATGGGCTCTTGAGGGAGTAAGTTCCATAATTTAACTAGGCACTGTGTGAATAACTTTCTTTTATCTGCCCTGAATCTGCCAATATTCACTGTACAGACTGTACACTTGTTGAATATTACCTGTGACTTACAAGTGTGCAGGTCAACGATTTAGGGGTGGTTAGGACTTGTCTCCACTGAGACAGCAATCCAAGGCCTAGCCTGGCTGAATCTTCTCCCAGAATCCTCTTCAGAACTGCAGAGTTCTATTGGCGTGGAAAGCGTTTAGTTTGAAAACCAATATTTTAAGTAAGAAATAGGCAGAAACGCGGGGAGAAAAATCCACAAAGCCCCCGGATGAAACCAAAGGTGTGTTTCTGAAGCTTTCTAAAAGATAAAAATATCCAAAGAAAGCATGAGAAAATCAATATGAATGGAGAGTCAGCGCTTGAAAGTGCTTTTCCTATCCTCCTAATCAAAAGCCCAAGTGCTCCGTTGGTGAAGTGAAGGCCTCTTTTGTGTGTCTTGCAATCCTGCATGACTGCAGAAATAATTTAAAGGGTGTTTTTCTCCTGGAAAGCACATTTCTTTGAACTCATGTTTTGTTTTTGCCACATAATAAAGTGCAAGGTGAACTATGAAAATGAAGAATTTAGAGATGACATTTTAACACAGATAACAACCGTAAATTTGGATGTACTCTGTGTTCCTCTTTCCTGCCATGCTGCTTGATTTAAAGTGCACAGGGCTGGCATTGTGAAAAGGCATTGCAGCAAAATACCAAGACAAGAATTTGTGGCCTAATTTTAACCTTGAAAGCAAGGTGGTCACTGCAGTAATGGAGGGTTAGGGTTTTCTGTAGGGCTACAGAAGAAGAAGAAAACACCACTGAATTTGAATATTCACCCCCCCAAAAAATTAATTTTCAATCCTAAACTCAGAAGAACTGAATAAGGGGTCCAGCGATATATCACAGACTATTCCTGGCCATATTTCACACACTTTCTTTTCTGGTGGCAGAAGTCAGCCTTCGAGAAGGTTTTACAACTACAAGAAAGAACAACAGAGACTTGATTATGTCTCCTTAATATTTCCCTACAAATTTACAGGATGTGCAATTCTTCTGAGGATGTACACACAAGCAAAATAAATTAAGATTAGCTGATTAAGAAGTCTGATTTCAAAAAGCTACTGGGTGAGATCCCATGGTCAGAAATACTCAGGGAGAAGGGAGTTCAAGATGGATGGGAGTTTCTGAGAGGTGGAATATTGAAGGCACAAAGGCAGACAATTCCAACAAGAAAGAAACTTGTGAGGTGGCATAAGGAGCTTACAGAAGAGTTAAGAAGGACATGGAAGGAAGGGGAAATCATGAGGAAAGAGTATGCACAAGTAGCCAACAGTTGCAGGAAGAAGGTCAGACAGGCCAAACCTCAGAATGAGCTCAGGCTTGCAAGAGGAAATAATAACAAACGTTTGTTCGGCTATGTTTGAAGCAAGAGGAAGTAAAAGCAGGTCATAGGTCCTCTGCATGGAGAAGACAGAGCAATGCTCTTGGGTGACAGAGAGAAGGTGGAACTGCTCAACACCTATGGATAGCTCAGGTGGTTAGAGCATGGTGCTGATAACACTGAGGTTGCAGGTTTGATTCCTGATTGGGACCACTGCATTGCAGGGAGTTGGACTAGATGTTCTTCAGGGTCCCTTGCATCTCTATGATTCTATGATCTGTCTTCACCCAAAAGGAAAACAATGTATTGTGGGAATGTTCAGGCATGCAGGAGAGGATATATTGTTTGATTATATCCTTTCCAACTTGTGTTAACATATTCTACAATTTAGCAGAGTAACATCCCCCTTTTTAAACTTGCACGGCAGATGCATTTGCTCAGGCTTGCTAAAGCCTCTAAAATAAGTTTCGTTGATAATTTCCCCTTTAGTCCCTCATAAAAAGATAGACACGACACAGTCTTCTATAAAAGTATAAAAAGAGTTTACTCACTCACATTCTGTTCACAGATGGATCCCAGAAGGCAGACTTGAGTTACAAAAGTAACATACACCTGGAAACTATCCCATAAGGAGACAGTTCCTTTGTCCTCTCTCTTGGCTAGAAGCCAAGAAAGCATCTTAGGCTAAGCAGATGTTGCTTCTTTGAATGTAATCAGAGAGAGAGAGATGGTGGCCTCCGCTGAGGTATTTTGTTACCTGCACTGGTGAGGCCATGCCCACCTCTGGTCACATGTAGAGGAAGTCTGTCCCAGCCTAGGAGGAAACAGGAAGTTCCGACTGGCTGGTCCAGACATCCCCTTTTTATGTCCACTCTGGGCATGTTGTACTTGACTGCTCTGTGTTTCACATCCCACATGTATGCCCAACCTGATGATAACAGAAAATGCAAGGAGGAAGCTGCAGCCCAAGATAGGAAAGAGGAAGCAAGGGAACACCTACCTACTTTAAATGAATTCAGAACTCAGGGCCTGATAAGCTGCACCCAAGGACACGAGAGGAGCTTGCAAATGGAATCTCAGAGTATCTGTCTCTAATTGTTGAGAATTCTGAGAGAACAGGTGCAGTCTCTGTAGACTGGAGGCAGGCAAATATTGCCCCCATCTCAAAAAGTGGTGGTGGGGGATCTCTCTCTTTATGGTTGGTATTTTGAGGCTTTTTGGATTTATTTTCTCCGAGGACTTTGCTACCGTGATTTAAAGAATACTTCTGAGAATACTTTCAGATTTTTAATTATCATAACCACTGTATTGGATTTGGCCAACCAAGTGGCAAGAAAAATTGAAGATTTTATTTGAGTTTGGCTTTTGTTTTAATTCTCCTTGGCTAACATTCGGTTGATAATTTTGGAGCGCCCCCTAGTGGACAATCATATAAATACAGTCCTAACAAAATAGAAATTGAACTTTAGGGAAACGTAGCCCCCTGGTGGACAATCGTATTGGTGCATCAAAAAATTATTAATTTAATTTGATTAAATTTACAAGATGTCTCATACACAGAAAAAAGGTGAAGCAGGGACACCAGCAGAAAGGAAAGGTTCTAGACAAGAATCTGATATTAAAGGAGAATTAATAAAGATGTTTACAGAGCTCAAAGCAGATCTTAAATCAGAAATACAAAAAAGTGAGAAAAACATAGAGACAAAATTGGAGTTGGTGGATAAAAAAATAGATGTGACCGTGGAAAAAATTGATGAAACAGTCAAAGAAATAAAGGGGCAGATGAAAGATATGATAAAAAGGACACAAAATTTGGAAGAAGGGGCAAGGAAGGTTAAAACGCAAGTCAAGGAGATTAGAAAAGAAGAAGAAAAAATTAAAGCCGAAGTAGCAGAGGTTAACAAGACACAAGAGGAATTGTGGGATGCTATTTCGATGAATGAACTGAGACAGAAGGAGAATAATCTGAGATTTAGAATGGTACCAGAGTCCCAAGGAGAAGAAATAAAGGAGAAATTAATTAAAGAAATTGCCATATGGCTTGAGATGCAGGAAGAGGACGTAGCAAAAACAATACAAAATGCTTTCAGAATCAAAGTGAGATCAACAAAGGCTAAGAAATTTCCAGGAGACTGTTTGGTGATATTTAAATATAGAGAAATGAAAAATTTAATTCTGCAAAAGAATAGGGAGAAGAGATTGAACATCGACGGGAGTAATATAATTATTTTTAAAGACGTCCCACTTCGGCTTTTGAAAAAACGGAACCAATATCAAGAGTTGGTGCAAGCTCTGAGAAAAAACAAAATTGAATTTAGATGGGAGTTCCCAGAACGAGTGTCATTTGCTTATAAAGGGAAAAGACACAGGATAACAAGATTTGATGAAATGGATAAATTTTTGAGAAGATATAAAGAACTGGGAAGAGAAGAAGATGGAGCAGCACTGGCGGAAGCAGGAGCGGGAGGCGGAGCCTCACAAGAATCGGAAGAGGAGGGAGAAGAAGGGGAAGAAGAAGAGGAGAAGTAAAATTTAAAGACTATTATTATAAATTAATCAGAAATCAAAATGGCGTTGAAATTATGGACCTGGAATGTTAATGGAATGAACGAGAAAAAAAGAGAAATAAAATTCATCAATATTTGAAAAAACAAAATTTAGACATTATTTGCCTACAAGAAACACATGTGACGAGAAAACACAGGAAAATCTTAATAAACAAAAAATTAGGAAACGAATTTATCTCATCGGACAAAACTAAAAAGAGAGGAGTGGTATTATATATTAAAAACAAATTAGAAGCTCAACAAATTTTTAAAGATGATGAGGGTAGAATCGTGGCAGTACAAGTTAAGTGGCAAGGTGAAAAATTAATAATTGTCGGAGTATATGCACCAAATGAAAACAGAATGGACTTTTTCAAAGAATTAGAGGAAAAATTATTTGAATATATGGACCAAAAGATTATAATAATGGGTGACATGAACGCAGTTGTGTCATTGGACATGGACAGACTAAGAGCTACAGGTAAATCCAAAGAAGGGAAATTACCAAAGACATTCTTTTCAATGGTAGAGAACTGCAATTTAATAGATATTTGGAGACTGAAACACCCATTAGAAAAACAATTCACGTATCAGTCAGAAGCAAATCAATCAATGTCAAGAATCGATCAGATGTGGATAACTAATGAGCTTACAACAAGAATTTTAAAGATCGAAATTCAACCTAAGGTACTATCGGATCATAATCCAATAAAGTGTATCTTGAAAGGATATGAAGAAAAATCTTTCCGATGGAGACTAAACGAGACTCTCTTTGATGATCAAAAAGTGGTAGAGGAGGCACAAAAGTGCTTGAAGGACTATTTTTTAAATAATATGAATCAAGGAACAAAAATAACCACAGTTTGGGACGTTAGTAAAGCTGTAATGAGAGGACTTTTTATTCAACAGAATTCAATTAAGAATAAATTAAGAGAAAATGGGGAAAAAGAAATTTTAAAACAAATAATGGAGAATGAGAAGAGATTGGTTATTAGTCCCGAAAATAAAAAACGAAAATGAATATTAAAGCGTTACAATCACAATTTGCAATGATAATAAACAGAGAAGTAGAATGGAATATTAAAAGAATGAGACAAAGGAACTTTGAATTTGCAAACAAGTCAGGAAAACTGCTTGCTTGGCAGATAAAAAAAAGGAAAGAGCAAAATACTATTCATAGAATAATTGTGGAAGATAATAAGATTGAAGATCCGAAAGGGATAAGAAAAGGATTTGTGGACTTTTACAGACAATTATACAAGAGAAAAGAAAAAGTCAATATAAAAAAAATAGAGGAATACTTAATAGAAAAAGGGGTGCAGAAAATTCCAACAAAAGAAAGAGGAAAATTAAATGAAAAGATAGAATTAGAGGAGATTAGAAATGCAATAAAAGAATTAAAAAGTGGGAAGACACCGGGACCCGACGGACTAAGTGCAAGATATTATAAAGAATTGAAGGACATCCTACTTGTCCCATTAAAAGAAGTTATGAACAACATTCTATTAAACAGAGAAATACCAGAAACATGGAAAGAAGCATACATCACTTTGATACCCAAGCAAGACTCTGATCTAAATCAGGTTAAAGATTTTAGGCCGATCTCGTTTTTGAACAATGATTATAAATTATTTGCAAACATACTAGCAAACAGGTTAAAAAAAGTATTGAAGGAATTAATACATAAAGATCAGGCGGGTTTCCTGCCAGGTAGACAAATGAAAGACAATATTAGAAATATAATTAATATTTTGGAATACCTGAATGCTAAGAATGACAAACAAGCGATGTTAATATTTGTGGATGCAGAGAAGGCCTTTGATAATATTTCTTGGGAATTTATATTAAAGAATTTTGAAATGATGGAGGTGGGACATTCGTTTTTAAATGGTATTAAGGCTATATATATGGATCAAAGAGCTAAATTAATAATTAATAATGTGACGACGGAAAATATAAAGATAACTAAGGGAACAAGACAAGGATGTCCTTTATCACCTCTGTTATTTATCACGGTCCTGGAAGTGTTTTTAAGGGCAATTAGAAGTAATGATCAGATAAAAGGGGTAACGGTGGGTAGAAAAGAATTTAAGGTTAAAGCCTTTGCGGATGACTTAGTATTAACTTTGGAAGATCCCATGAACACGGTAACAGAAGTGTTGAAAGAAATGGACCAGTTTGGTCAGTTGGCAGGATTCATTCTGAATAAGAAAAAAACTAAAGCAATTCCTAAAAATGTAGATTCGGAGAATGTAAACAGATTACAGCAGCAAACTAAAATAGAAGTGGTAAAGAAAGTTAAATATTTAGGAGTTTGGTTAACCCCCAGGAGTATTGACTTGTTTCAGAATAATTATATTCCAACATGGAATAAGATCAAAAGAGACTTAGAGGTGTGGGGAAGAATGAAATTGTCATTTTGGGGAAGAATTGCAACGATAAAAATTAATGTGCTACCAAAGATGTTATTCTTGTTTCAAACAGTTCCAGTAATCAAAGGGGCAGCGATTTTTAAAAATTGGCAACGAGAAATTTCAAGGTATATCTGGCAGGGTAAGAAGCCGAGGATAAAATTTAAGATATTGACGGACGCAAAAGAAAGAGGAGGCTTCGCCCTGCCAGACTTGAAATTGTATTACGAAGCATCTTGCCTCTGTTGGTTGAAGG